GGGGGGGGGGGGGGGGGGCGTATTTTGCATGTCTTAGCTGGTATAGACCATTGGCCACGCGTTCGTCGTCGAGAGGACCGAGCATTGTTCCCACAGGACCGATCACCGTTGGCCAATCGTTCCTTCTTTGGGGCCGGGGGGGGGGGGGCTACCCGGTACCGCCCATGGCTGTTCTGCATCGAAAAATAGGTTGGGGAAAAACAAAAACAATACTCCCTCCGGGGCCCCGGCGAACACGGAACCCCTCCCCGGAGTCGTCCGTGAAAAAAAAAAAAATCTTCCATGGGCAACAAAAACAAACACGCACCTCTTTGCCAATGTCGGCTAAAGTCCACTCCCTGGGCTGCGGCAGGTCCCAGTCCCCGAGGGCAAACAAAGGCTCGTGGGACCAGTCCACCAATGAAAGCGGCGCCAGGACCGGCTCGTAGTAACCCTCATCATCGTCAAAAGCCTCACTGCTGCTCTCTTGCCGGCTATGGTGTGTGGATTGCAGTGGATTGATCGCCGTTGACAAAACACGAGCAGCACAGCAGCAGCAGCAGCAGCAGCAGAGGGTCGGGGGTAAAAATGGACGGACGAGCACCCCAGCGACCGTGGTTAATCGTGTTGATTGGGTTGGGTTGCAGTGGATTCTTCGCCGTTTTACGAGACGGGAACAGCGGCGGCGGCGGCAGCAGCAGCACCGGGTCAGGGTTAAGAGGTAAGAGTGGACGGGCGGCCGCCGCAGCGAGAATCTCATCACAACAACAACAACGTCGAAGGAGCAAAGCCCGAGGCGAAACCCACCCCAGCAAGAGAATGGTGTTAGAGGCACATCATGGACCCGTTACTACTTGTACTGCAAACACGGGGTGCCGGAAAACACTTCCATCTCCGCCGAACACGGCCAGCATCCACCGCTCCCAGCGTGTCCCTCCCCCCATAGCGCCTAAATAGGTTAACCCTAACCCTGATCATAACCCAAAATCGCGAAACTCACCCGTGAGCAGGCGCGCCATCCTCCACCGACACACTGCCGCCGCCGCTTGACCGCTTCCCGGACCCTACGGACGGATTCGGCGGGGCCCCCGATTCTCGCCGACTCGGCCCAGCCGCCACCGCATCAGGCTCCACCGCTTCTTCCTCCTCTATTGCCTCGGCCGCTGCAGGCCGGGTGGCGGTAGCAGCAGGCTCGACGGTGGGGGCAGCGTCCTTGGATGCTCCCGCCGTTGTCCCCGCCCCCGCCGGGCCACCAAGCGAGGGCGCATCCTCCTCCTCCTCGCTAAGGGCAGCAGGCGCCGCCGAAGATGGTGGCGTCGTCAAGTCGGTAGCCTTTCGACAAAAACAAAAATCCCAAAGCGGCGACGAGAGATAGTGGGAAACGTGGGTGGTTCAAGGCGACAGCAGAGCGTGAACGGGGGAAGATAAGGCGCCACCACCTGTTGTACTTGTACGTTTTACCTTCTTCGTGAATTTTACTCCGATGTACACCATGAAGGAGGGTAGATTTGGACAAAAACCTTCAGAAGTTACTTGCTGCAGACCGCCTTTTATGACCTCTCCAGAAAGTATACGTCCAACTCTCTTTTCGAGATAGTCTTCAACAGAGCTGTGCTCGAATCAAACGACAAACAATTCCTCGCCCAATGGCTTCCGGTTCCCCCCCCCCCGTCTGTCAAAGGCTCGCCTTCGATCGCACTGGCGGCCATGCCCTCGACAACTTCTTGCCAGCCTGAGACACAGCAGCATCGAATTCGTCGATGGCCGTGTTAGAGCTGACGCGCAAGGCTAGCGATGGCCTCAGGGGGGGAGTGGACGAGTCATCCTCGCCGCCGCCACCGCCGCTGCCTTCGTGCCACCGCTTCCTGCTCCCCGATGTGAACGTCCTCACTTTGTTCTTGCCGCCGCCGCTGCCGCCGCCGGCACCGCCGGTGGCACCCTCACCGCTCTTCGCCGAGAGCGCCGCCACCCTCTCCCTAACCGAACCCCACCCGGCGCCGCTGGCACCACCGGTACCCCCGCCTTTAACGCTGCTGCCGCCGCTCCCACCCCCGCCAGTATTTCGGCGCTCGAACGCAGCTGCGAGCGCAGCGGCTCGCCCTTGCGGGATCCCTTCCGGTCGTCTGTCTGCCCCCCCGAGCGACGAAGACGGCGGCGGCGCCGTTCCTTCTCCGACCGTAAGCTCCGATGACCGGGGCTGCTCTTCCTCCAGGGCGCTCTCCCCGGCGCTCTGACCCGCTCTCACAACCGCCGCCCTGGCCTCCGCCCCCCCCGCCGCCGCCACAGTGGCCGGCAGCGTTTCTTTCCCCTGGACCGGGTCGCTGTTTGCACCGACGTCGCTTCCTCTCAACGATCTGGCACGTTCTTCGCTACCCCCGGCCGCCTCCGCCTCCGCCGGTGGAGGCGCCTCGTCGTTCGCCGCGGCGGACCTCCTCCGATTGGCAAGCACCGCCGGCAACCCGTCGCTCCCGTCCGAAGCCCAGTCCCCTGCCGAGTCGTAGCACACCTCTCCCTCCTCGCTTGCCGAGGTGCGTCTTCTGACGTAGTTGAACGACGACGCTCCGGAGCCTCGCCGTCGAAGGCCCCCGCCGCCGCCCTTATCATCTTCTTCCTCCCCCTCGGCCGCCATCTCGTCCTGTTCCTCCGCGCGGCCGGTGCCAGCAGCAGCAGCAGCAGCAGCAGCCTTGATCGGCGTGCTGCTCCCGATGAAGCTCCCGCGGGCGTCCGACAGCCTCAAGCCCGACCTTTCCTCCCGCTTCGCGCGCCCCTTGGCCCCGCTGCCCTCTCCGGACGTCGGACGGGCGCGCCCGCCGCCGTCGCCTTTTCGCCGGGGCACCGCCGCCCCCGGCCCCGCCCCCGTCCCCCCCAAGCCATTACCGGCGGCGGCAGCGGTGGCATCGCCGCCCGACGAAGGTGTGTGTCGCTCCTCTTCCCGTGCCTCTTCCGCGGCATGTTCCATTTCCTGCGAGACGCCCCCGCCGGCGCCGCTACCCCGGCCGTCCCGGCTACCCCCCGCTCGGTTGCCAGTGCCGTCCCCCTCTTTTCCCCTGCTGGCGCTCAGGTCTACCTCTTCTTCTTCTCCTCGTGTGTCATCGTCGTCGCCTCCTCCGTGCTGGGCGAACGATCTAAGAGGGGGTGACGGGATGGCGAACGCCGGTGGGGGGAGGGCGGTGCCGCCGACCAACCGGGCCGCTCCCCTCGCCGCGTCCGTTCCCGCTGCACCGGCGGCGGCGGCGGGGGCATCAGAGCTCTTCGGCCGGGAAACGACCACTTCATCAAAGCCTGCACAGATAGGTTGGCGTCATTTGTTGTGATTGAGATGAGATATTCATCCTTTTCAGCACCTCGGGGTGATCCTGTCGGCAACAATAATCAACGCCGGTGCTAAGCACGCCGGGGGGTTGCACGGTAGGAGGTCTTGCCGCTAAGAAGGAGCCCCCGACACAAAACGACGGGTACTACACAAGAGCGGTCGGTCGGTCTTTGGGCGATCCAGCGGAGGGAATGCTCTTGTTACGGCGGCCCAGTCAAAGGGTGCACTCGTACCGGAGGCGTTCATACTTCTACCGTCGCTCTCGGACACCTACTGCTGTCGAGAAGAGACCCTGGACTGCTTGTCGCACACGGCACATGTCGAGGAGTTACTAAATTGCAGCACGCCGTAGATAGGTATCGCCAGCGTACGCCACGGGGTCTGTTTTTCCTATAGACGAAACGTGCTGAAACCGATAGCAAACCGGCACAGAAGCAGTTACTAGATACTCCAGTTACTCCAGTTCCGACTCCTGTCCAAATGCCAACGTCGAGGCGGGGGGCGGGGGGGGGCGGTCACCTTCCCTACCCAGGGTGCTGGGCGTCACCTGCCCCCCTCCTCCCGATAGATACACCTCTGCATACCCCGCACTCACCGTGCACGACAGGGAAGGGCCCGTCGAAAGCCCCGGCGGTGGGCGGCTCGTCGGGTACTTGCGGCGCAAGGATCATCTGGTGCTTCCGGTGGTCTCCTCCCTTCCTCAGCGCATCCCTGTGAGAGAGGGGCAGCGCGAGGGTTGACAAAAAAAACGTGGGTGTATCATTAAAATAGTCCCGGGGTGACATGTTACACCAAGGAGGCAGCGTGAACAGATGTACGTAACTACGCGGGATATAGCCTCGTAATTTCGACCTGCTTCGACGTACACAAAATAAAAACACGGCCCAAAGACCACTCCAGTTGGATCCGGAGGTGGCAGGAGGCGGGGCATGCTCATACGCTTGCTTGCTAGAGTCATCTGGACGTGTACCACGAACCCTTTCGGAGACGGCGCAATTTCCTTCATCCATACACCGGGGGGGGGGGGATACCCATTGCATGCCTTAATTGTTGACCACGCGTCCTCCAAAGGACGGAGGGGGGGGGGGGGGGGA